GTAGTCATGATATGCCCTGAGAATTCAACTTTGAAGCTATGGTATCAAATACTCCCAAAGCTTTGTTCTTATCTTGGCGTTCTTCTGGTTGGCTCTTTAGACTTTAACTTTTTGGGTTTCTATATGAACTATAATAAGTAGGCTAAAAGTTTAACTTTTAGGAGGGGTTCAGAAGTAAGCCAAGTAAGGTCATGCAGGATTTTGTCCATCAGCCGTAGCAACACCAAGGATGGTTTCAGGACTCTCCAAGTTGCCTGGGCCTAAGCCACACCTGGGATGTAGGGTTTTAGGCTTGGGGTTTAGGGTTTAGGGTTTAGGGTTTAGGGTGTGTTCATGGTTTAGCGTGTAGGATGTAGGGTGGGGATAATTGCCAATAGTATTTCTGAGGCTCTCCTACCATTATTACAGTGAAACTACCTTTGTATAATGTGCCCCAAAACCCCAATCATTGAGGCTCCTACAGTAGGGGGGACGAAGCTGTCCCTGCAACAGTTCGGCTTGAGAGTTTCGGGGTAGGATCGCTAACCAGAGTCGACCTACCTTATTCTGGCACAGGGGTTCTCTCGGGGTGAGCTTCCTTCATATCGAGTCCTTGACCTCGTCCGCCCTTGAAATGAAACAGCCCGGATGGGCAACATTCAATTTTCTTGCGGCGTGGCCAGATCCCTCAAAGATGCACATAAGGTTTAGGGCTTAGGGTTTGATGTGAACACTCAACCTTCTAGCATTTTCGTTTGCCATACTTTCTCCCAGAAAGCCACCGATTTGCATTCCTCGCCGGGCGCCCTAACATATATACAGAATTCGCAATACGATCCCTCAAAGTTCCTGAATTTTTGGAAAAAATACACAAGCTGCTAGCTTGCCAGTGCGGCGCATATCTTAGGAGTCCCTGTCGCGCTGTGGGACTACGCTTCCTTACATCACTTGGAAACATAAATAGACAAATAAGTGCATGAATGAATGAATGAATGAATGAATGAATGAATGAATGAATGAATGAATGAATGAATGAATGAATGAATGAATATGTAAACAAAATTGAATACAACGCACATACATATATATATATATAGATGGGTGTGTAGATATATATATATATATAGAGGGAGAGAGAGTTGTTGCATTTATAGTTCCATGTACTATCTATACTGTACTATGTACTGTCGTATGATATACTCTAATATAACACATAATACCTAAACCCTAAACCCTAAACACAATAATAAGCGTTCTGCAAGTTAGACCCTGGAGCCCGCCCGACGACCCCCAGCCCTCACCGAGGAGCGTGGATTTCCTGGCATCTCGGACTTTTTTTGGGTATATGGGGATTTCCGAAAATAGGGGACCCTAATACAGTACCCTGAATAGTAGGATCCTTATCATAAGGACCCCAAATACAGGTACCCCTTATTTTCGGAAACTCCCAGGTGAAAATATGTACCTACAACTCGGGGGCAGTACCCAATCTTTAGGCTTCGGGGTTCGGGGGACTTAGTAAGTGTTGTCGGTGAGTATCGTCAAAAAATCTCATGTCTCTAGCAAGGTGAGTATAACAGTACTTATTATCGTGATAAAGTTAATATAAACAACTGTTCATGGCCCAAGTAAGGCGCGTAGACCTTGACTCAGTCCCCTGCTCCTTCAAGCATGCCCTGATTGGGGATTTCGTCCTACAAAAAAACACCTACTTGCGAATCTCCGTGACCCCCTACGAAGATGATTGCTTGGAGGCATTGTTGGTTCGGTGCTGGGTTGGGACTCGGGATCCGAGCTACACTGACCCTGTGGCCTTTAGCAGGTTCTGCATGCAGTTTGGACTCGGGTTTAGGGTGTCGGCACGATGATGCAGATCGTTCTGGGAATAGGGTGTTCGACCATCGTCGTTATTGCACTGAGAAAGATGCACCTGGTTCTGCGGAGCCATATAATTGCGCGTAGTGTAGGATTAGGATTCAGGGGGCACAGGGGTGCGGGTGACCTCCAGGCGGCTTCTTGTGGTTCCCTTAAACCCAAGAACATCTGCGGTATCCGACGCTTCGGCCCAACGCCGACAACAGCGGCTCAAGGCTGCCTCAGTGATAGGGTCGAGGGTTTAGGGGCTTTAGTGTTGCGACACTTTTGCCGGATAGAGCCCTTTGCCTTTCTCCAGACTCGGGATGGCCGTACTCGTGCCGCAGAAGCCTTCAACGCCGCCTCCGGCTTCCAAGTCGCCTCGTCGTCGCATGAGTGCTACGCTACCGGCCTCGCCACTGCAGAGCTCAACAGGATCCGAACCCGGTGCAGCCGACCTGGCGGAACTTCAAGAGTCTGTGACGAGCCCCTCAGTGAGTCCATCCATCAGCATGATTTCATCTGCCAGCTCGGATTTCCAGGAATGCAGGGTTCACTTCGAGGAAACCCCCGAGATCATCTTGTTTCTGACTGCTGACGAGGGTAGTGCCCATCTTACAGCGGTTGCGGAAGAGGATGCGCGAGGGGAGGCAGACGAGATCGGCGAGACTCCGTGGGCAGTGCCAGCTGGCCATGACTCATGTGAAGGAGGTGGAGGTTTGGCTGAACTTGCTGCAGATGCTTGGTCAGATATAAGGTTGGCTTCTATAGGTACTATAATATAGGGGACTCAAAAATTACCAATGCTATTTTGGTGTTCCTTATTCGAACTATACGATAAAGGACCCCCAAACCCGATTCTAATTCTAATCATTAAGGCCCCTTACATTAGGCGAGCAGGTGCGAGACGTATTTTCCCACCAAGGAGAGGCGGGAAGCCATGCTCCGCAAGTTCCGCAAGCTCTTCCCGGACACGGCGAGAGTGAATGCTTGATGCGCCCTCAGCATCCGGTCGATTGAGTAGAAAAAATCTGTTGGCTTTTAAATTTAAAGTCTCGCCCATATTTACAGCAGCATCTTTCTTATGAGCAGAGATGCGGGCGAAGATCCCTACGAGATCTACCACGCGTTGGCTTGCTCTCCACATTGAGCTGGTGTGTGTGTGAGTATGTGCTTTCGAGGAGTCACATCACAGAAAGCCTCATACTCTCCAAGGTCCTATGCCGTAAACGTTGAACTCTGACAATTCCGGTTTCGTTCACCGCAGCTCGAAGGAGGCCGAGGCGACAGCGAGCGCTAGCTGAAGGCTGGAGCTGTCCTGTCCTTGCACAAGCCAGGCTTCTAAATGGGGGTTTCCGAAAATAGGGGACCCTAATATAGTACCCTAAATAGTAGGATCCTTACTATAAGGACCCCTAAATAAGGTACCCCGTATTTTCTGAAACTCCCAAATTTCAATGAATTAGTTACAGAGGGCGTTGCTGGCCATGGCAATTGTGTTCGGTCGCCATCGCAAAGCGAAAACGCGGATCTGCAGACGAAGGATGCAGATTCAGTCCTCTGGAGTGCTGTGTTTATCATGAGCAGCGGTTGGCCATCAAGAGTGTTTTTGAAGCTTTCACCCTAAACCCTAAACCCTAAACCAATGCTGAATCCTGACTTTCTGCAATGTTGTCAACTCCGCTGCCAACCGCGTGTTTCACCAGGCCGTGCTGCAGTATCGCGCATGCAGCCCCGCTGCCTAGTGGAGGTTTCTTCCTCCATGCCGCCGGCAATCAGGTCTTAGCATCTGATATTCGACGTTGCCGCTCAGGCTACCCTAAACCCTAAGACCCTAAACCCTGAACCCTAAACCCTAAACGCTTAGGTTGATTGTTGATCTCTGCCGCTGTTTCGGTACCTGGCACAGTAGCGCGGCTGTCTGTGGATGGGGCTACATGCGATCTGCTTCTCTCGTTGTTCTACCATGTTCTCGCACTTGGCGTTGTGTTCGCCTTTGGCGTTAAATTCGCCGGACGCTGCGACAATTCGAATTTCTGCCGGAGATAGCCGAAAAGAGCCTGATGGGCGTCGGGTAGAGGTGGCAGAGGTGGCCTCATGATGCGAAAGCTGCAGGATAGCCCTGAACCCATGTAGGATAAGCCTACACCCAAAACCTCTAAAACCTAAACCTCCAAAGCCCAAAACCTCTAAAACCTAAACCTCCAAAACCCAAAACTTCTAAGACCTAAGCCTCCAAAACCCTAAACCCAAAACCCTCTAAAACCTAAACTTCCAAACCCAAAACCCAAAACCTCAAAAAGCTGAACCTCCAGAACCCTAAACCCCAAAAACCTCTAAAACCTAAACCTCCAGGACCCTACTTAAAGGATCATGGGACTTAGTAAGTAAGGTTATAAGTCCCTTAATTGGGGGTTATATGGTAATATAAGTATAGCTACCTTAATTATAACCCTACTTACTAAACCCTAAACCCTAGACCCTAAACCATGATCCTTTAAGTATATGACTTACTAAGTCCCATGATCCTTTAGGTAGACCCTAAACCGGGGGTCTTCAAGAGCCGTATGGGTTCGTGGGACTCGCAGCTCCAGCGCTCTTGACCTCAATCCGGAAAAGGGTTTAGGGTTTAGGGTTTAGGGTTTAGGGTTTAGGGTTTAGGGGTTTAGGGTTTAGGCTAGGTTCCCCAGTAGTACCCTTTTGCCCTTTGTCTTGTTGGGTTCCCTTATTGGAACCAACTAGTAGGAAAAAGGGTACCCTTGTTATTAAGGGGCTACTGGGGAACTTAGCAGGGTTTAGGGTTTAGGGTTTTGGGTTTAGGGTGTAGGGGTTTAGGGTTTAGGGGTTTAGGGTTTAGGGTTTAGGGGTTTAGGGTTTAGGGTTTTGGGGTTGTGCGTTAAGCCGCTGAGCCTAATCCTAAGCCCTACACTCACGACCAGGTGTCGATGCAAACCTGGGACTCGAATGAAGAGGCACGCCATCAAAGTTGGATGTCTTCTGGGGTTGAACTGTAAAAGCCTAAAGAAGTACCAATTTAGGCTTAAACCCCAAACCCAAAACCCTAAACCCTAAACCGTTGAACTGTAAAAGCCTAAAGAAGTACCAATCGTATTCCTGGGGGTCTCCTCTTATCATGGTACTATATTCTACCACCCGCCTAGGTTCCTGAGTAGTACCCTTTTGCCCTGTTTGTCGTATTGTCCCCTTATAAAAGAAAAAGGGTACCCTTATTATTAAGGGGTCACTCAGGAACAAAAACCCTAAACACTAAACCCTAAACCCTAAACCCTATTCTAATCATTAAGGCCCCGATAGTCGGGCTTGCAGGTGGGTGTCGAGCTTGCAGCTTCGGAGCTGACTTGAAGATGTCTGCTGCAGCTTTGGTTAAGGATTCAGGGGTTTAGGGGTAAATTATGGGTTTTGGATGTAGGGGTGTAGGGATAAATTATGGGTTTAGGATTCAGGGGTTCAGGTTTAAATTATAGGTTTAGGATGTAGGGGGTTAGGGATAAATTATAGGTTTACGATGTAGGAATTTAGGGATAAATTATAGGTTTAGGATGTATAGGGGTTTAGGGATAAGTTATGGAACTTAAGCCGAGTTTAGGGGTTTAGGGATCAGGGTTTAGGGTTTCCAAGCTTGAAGTCCGATTCTGCCATGGAGATTGCCAACTCAGAACCCAGAGATTCCAATACCCCTTAATTAAGGAATATACCTTAAATTATAGTAGGATCCCTAATAAGATTTAAGGTATATTCCTTAATTAAGGGGTATTGGAGTCTCTGGGAAGCTTCTGTTAAAGGGCTTCAAGGGTGGGATGAAGGTCGGTGGGGTCATCCCAAAATAAGATTTCCTTATTTGGGTTTATAAGGGACCATTGATATAAGTATTTTTCAGAGTGTTTAAAGGCCAACCCAGTATATTAGGGATCCTTGATCCTACCTACCTTCATCCTACCTGTTATCTGAGGTTTTCAGAAGCCCGAACCATGATTTCCCTCTACGTTCCCGTGCACATGTAGGGGTTTGAGCTGCAGGTAGTGTCTAGGTCCTAAGCAGTGTGCAACTTTCGAAGCCCTTGCGCCGATACTGGCATGCCACAAAGAATGGAACAGAGTAAGTTCTACAATTGCTGATCTGTATACAGTTACGTCACTTGATCACATGGTCATGTGTATGCAACTATTGACAATTAGCCCTTTGTGTCATTATGCATTGGCATGTACGACCCAATGAAATACTGTCTGCTCTCACGAATTTGTAAATGCCATACATACATACACAAGTGCACACACATACAGTATACATAAGTAGGTACATGAATCTTATCATGCATGTGCACATGAACTGACCCACACATACACATGTCTCTAGACACAGTCGAATGTTTAATTAGCTCTTTTTTTTTGGAAATCTATCCATGAATACCTCAACTGCACCCATCCACACTCACATGCACAGAAAAGGCTCTACATCTGTATGTGTATGCATGTATATAAAGCATATTATACATATAGACAGATATACATATACGCACATATATCTAGACCGATGTATAGTTATGCATGAATCCATACATACCTACATACATGCATAGAAGAAGCATATGTGCATGCATATGCACAGACAGACCCACAGACCCACAGACAGAAATGACTACAGGCATGCATACTTGCTCTATCTGCCAACCCCTCAAACTTATATCCTAAACACCAAACCCCAAAACCTAGACGCTACTCTCCCCCCTCAAAAAATACAAAAAAAACAGGCGGGAAATTCGAAAACCCTCAATCCCTAAAACAACAAACCAATTTAAAGCCCCAACCTCTCTGATAGCCCAATCCCGAATCCTCAGCGGCTGTCAGATGCGTTTCGCGGCTGTGCGCTACTACTTCCTCCTGGAAGCCCTTCTCTCGGATAGCTCTTGCCAAAAAGGGTTCTTACGGGAGCTTAGGGTTGAGGCTGTAGGGTGGAGGGCTTTAGTCCCTAAACCCTAAGCCCTAAACCCTAAACCCTAAACCCTAGGCTTTTGGTTTTAGGGTTTTGGGTTTAGAATTTGGGGCCTTGAGGGCTTAGGGTTCGGAATTTGGAAGAGCCCTTTTTAGGGTTTAGGGTTTAGGGTTTAGGGTTTAAGGAGGTTTGGGGTAGGGAGAGTTTCTGGCTGCGGTGACACAGGGGCCCTTTGTACTACTGATCTGGATTTGCATCCCATGCAGAGACTATGATCGGAATAGTCATACATGTTCGCGGCCTAGTGAGTCTAGTATCTTAGGAGCCCAATAGGTAAACTTTAAAACTTTTTGGTATATTAAACCCCTACTAAAAAAAGAAGTTTAAACTTTTTTGGGCCAGGGTACTGGGCAGCTAAGTAAACCCTAAGCCCTAAACCCTGAAACCCTAAACCCGAAAGTATTGAAAGCAGGGAGCCGGCATGCCTCTTTACTTGTTTGTCCGGCCTGTTCGGAAGTCGGGCTGCGTTCTCACAGGGCATGATTTAATTGGGTAGATTAGATGGGTAGTTCTCTAAATTAGGGTCCCTTATTAGATCCCAAATATAGTACGGCACCATGATACCCTTATAAAAAGGACTCTAAAAGGGACCCTAATTTAGAGAACTACCCAGATAGGTGCCGAAGCCGTTTTCAGCGCCTTCTCACGCGATTTGAGATGGCGGCTGCTGACTGAGGGCGGCTAAGCATCATGCGGTGCGAGCTGCTCAAACCCGAGCCCAGTAAACTATAGAAGCGTAAAAAAATACCAATATTACTTCTAGGGTTCCTTATTATAATTCTATAACGGAGCCGAAAACCCTCTTCTAATCATTAAGGCGCCTATATTGCATGATATCCCGAAACCCAAGAGCCCCAAAACCAAAAGCACGACTGCTCCGCAACTCCTCCGTCGTATATCTATGCCCGGATACCCTCAACCTTGAACCCTAAACCCCAAGCCCAAAATTTTAGCGCCAAGCCCCCCTACCTGAAACTGATACGA